TCGCGGAGGAGCCGCAGCTCCAGGTCACGTTGGTCGACTGCCCCGGGCACGCCTCCCTCATACGGACCATCATCGGCGGTGAGCGCGGGCTGGGCGGGCGCCAGGCCCCAGGGCGTGGGGAGAGCGCTGCTCCGCTGGCCCAGGGCTGGGAGGGGTCGCCCCACTTCTCCGAGGGGCCTGACGAGTCCCCGAGTGGCGCACGGGGTCCGCCCCTGGCCCGGGAACGGAGGCGTTGGGATGCAGATTCAGAGTTCGCTGCAAGCGTGCCCCGCCCACCACCCCCGCCGAGCAGGGTGAAAGTGCCCGGTGCGCTCCTGAAAGGAGCCGTGACACGTGAACAAGTGAAGAACACTCCAAGACCACACACAGGTTCTGTGTAAAAAGTCGAAAGAAGTTTGCACGCACCATCCTTTGGGCTCCTGGTTTCTGCTTCCAGAGTCAAGCGCCGTTTTCCGTTTCTTGCACATTAATTTCAGGAAAAGGCCACCTCTAAAGACTAGCTCTGTCCATGTGATAGGCCTCCTCGTTTGCTTTTTACAAAACGGTGACTACATTATTTCACGTTAACACTATGTCTAGGAAAGTGTGCCGCATCTGTATCTGTGAACATCCCATCCACTTCCCTTCTACGTTTGTGCCAAAGTTTTCTTAACTGTTGGCAGGTGCCAATTCATAGTAGCCTTAGGTACAAGAGAACAAAACCAGCCCTGCACCAACCCTAAGATTGTTACCTTTGAGCACATTGCCAAACCTTCTTGTGGGGGTTTACCTAGCACGATGCTCTTCGCCAGGGACTCATCTCTCCTGACCACATGACCCACGTACTCGAGGCAAAGCCTCGCCATCCTTGCTTCTAGGGAGCATTCAGGCCGCCCTTCTCCCAAGATAGATTTGTTTGATCTATTGACAGCCCGTGGTACTTTCCATATTCCTCACCAGCAACCTGATTCAAACGCACTGGTTCTTCTTCCTTACTCAGCCCCCAACTTTCAGATGCATATGAGCGTGGGTCAGGTGCACCGAAGTTCTTAGCGTCATCCCCTAATGCACATTTATGTCTCTTTCGGTTTTTGCGCACAGTGCTGCAGTGTATATTCCAGAATAGAAGTCTTTGGGGTGCTTGCTAGTAAGCTCCTAAAATAAACTTGCAAGGACATGTGTGTTTGCCATCATGATGGAAAAAAAACCAAACCCACTGCCATTGAGCTGATTCTGATTCATAGTGACCCTATACAGGAGTTCTAAGACTCTAAATGTTTATGGGAGTAGGTAGCCTTATCTTTCTCTGAAAGATCTGCTGGTGGGTTTGAACCCTGACCTTTTACTTAGCCATCCATTACTATCCCACAGTTCCACTGGGGCTCCTTCATGATGAGTACTGCCTACGTGCACACTTAAGAAGTTGTACCATTCAATTTTTAATCATTTAGATAATCCATGAATACTTTCTACTTGGGAAAGAATAGAACATTTCAAAGAATGCAAAAATCCCCTAATCACCTTTTAATATCTGGACTCTTTCCCCTCTCCAGAGGAAATCACCCTTTTCCCTATGTGAAATTTCCATACCCAATTAGCTACACTTAAATTTGTGGACAAAAAGTTAGCATTATAAAATTTTTTTTTAAGGATACACAAATACATGTGCAAATAGGCGCATATCTGAAAGAAATCACCATCTCATTGCTGCTCCTTAGGGCTTGGTTCCCCTCCTTGTTTCCAGTGTCATGAGTTTCTTCCCAGTGATATTTGATACACTCAACAGGTATACAAGGGGACTGTAAGAAAGTTTATGGGAAAATGGAGTTAAATGATAATGGGATTTTCCCAAGAACTTTTTGAAACCCCTTCACTGGGTGTGTGGTTTTATTAATCTGATGGTAGGTGGCCTCATTGGTGGTTTGGGCATTCAAGGCCCTGCCTGTAGTGCTGAGTTCAAGTACAGTGAACCCTCGTTTATTGCCATTAATCGGTTCTAGACCCTACTGTGATAAATGAAATTCCGCGAAGTAGGATTCCTTATTTGTACATCAAATATTTTCGTAGTTAGAGCATAGAGGACATGAAAAAACACCCTTTAGTCACCATTACACTCATATTACCCAATTTATTAAACGAAAAAGGGAAAATACAGTAAAACATTTTGGACGTTACAATTATCATTTATTATTTATTATATTATTTATGGCATCAAGCGTGTACAGTATGAGCCGATCAGTGGCAGTAATGACAGAGCACGCGCTGTTACACAAAAACCGCGATAGAGTGAAGCCGCGGAAGTTGAAGCGTGAAGTGGCGAGGGTTCACTGTACTCTCATCTTGGTTTCTTCCCACCTGCTCCATGCTGGAGGTAATTCAGGATCATTTCCCTCACTTTGCAGTAGAGGAAACTGAAGCTTACAGCAGTGAAATGAAGGGACTTGCACAAGATCACCCTGCCTTGTCTTCTACTCAGTTCATGTTTTAATCATCAGATGAATATTAAGGGACACCTAATTTGTTTTCCCTTTTTCCTCTTCCTTTACAACTGAATTCTATTTGGTTCACATTAAAATACGTCTTGGGATATGCACTCTGAACCAGTCTAGGTTGGGGGTAGAAAGAGCAGATTAAAAAGACAAATTGTTGTTTGTTTGTTTTTTTTAATTAAATGGTGTAGGTGAGTGGTGACATATTTATTTTTTTGTTCAATGACTTTTTTGTTTTTAAAATAATTTTATTGGGGGCTCTTACAACTCATAACATTCCATAAATCAATTGTATCAAGCATATTTGTACATATGTTGCCATCATCATTTTCTAAACATTTACTTTCTATTTGAGCCCTTGGTATCAGCGCGCCCCCCCCTTGTGACCCTTCATAAATTATAAATTATTAGTGTTCTCATATCTTACACTAACCGCTGTCTCCCTTCACCCACGTTTCTGCTGTTCCTCCCCCTAGAAGACATATTTTCTGAGTCACACAGAACTGGGCTTGGGCTGGCTTCACCTTCTGTGAACTATCTGACCTTTGAACTGAATTCTGACCCTTCCCCACACTGGCAGTTAATAGTAATAAGCTGTTTATTGAGTTGGCTTTTCCTTGCCTGCTTGCCATTCCCTCAAGCCCTGCAAGCGGTGTGGGAGTTATCCTTGAATCCTTGAGGAAGCCCTGCCTGCGTATCTTGCCTTGAGTCACACAGCTGTCAGTGGAATAGACAGGCTGCCTGGCCCCAAGCTAGAGCTCGTTCCACTCCTTCGTAGGCCACGTCATGGAAGCTCCCCAACAAGCCCCATTCCAGTATGAACAATTGTAGAGAAACGTCCTGTGACCAAAACATGTTCTAATACCAACCTGTCCTACATAGCCAGATTATTGTACCCCTAATTGCTTGGCAGGTTCTTGGATTGGAAAAAAAGAGGAATTTTTATATTCTTGAGTGTACTTTGTGGCTCTTCTTATTTTCTTGCCTCTTGAGTAAGGAGACATTCTTTAACTTTTGACGAGGCTCTAAGTGGCTGTGTACATTGGCCTAGCAGAATCCAAACTTGCTATAGCGCACTGTTAGCAAGTTGAGTCCAACTCATAGAGACCTTACAAGGTTTCTGAGATGAACTCTTTACGGGAGTGGCCGGTGGGTCTGAACTGCCAGTTTTATGGTTACTACGGTGCCACCCACAGTGGCACCAGGCTCTTTCAGACTTTGTGTATCTTTGCTTAATTAAATAGATCCGAGTCCCAGCTTCCTTTTCAGGGAAATGAGGAGAAAAGTTGACTTTTTCTTTTGTAGGCCTGGTCTCCCAAGTGAGCGCCTGTACTGGCTTCGGTTGCTGGGAACCAGAGGGAAGAGACTGGTGTTTGGAAAGCAAAGGGCCTTGGGCTGGGCTGGGAGGCTCGCCCTGCTCTCCCTCTCTTGAATCCACGTCATGGCTTTAGTTATCCTGTTGCTCCATAACTGTGTGGGCACCTTTGACTTTTGAAATGACATGAACATAGGCCTGGCCCATGGCACCTCCTGCCTGATTGCTCTCCTCCACGTGTTCCGCACAGTTGTCTGAGTAAAACTTTTTTGAATGTTCATCAGAACGCGCCAGCTGTCTGCTTAGAGACTCTCCATTAGCTTCCTGTTGTAGACAGAGTACAACCCAGCCTCCTCCTTATAGCCGCAGAACCTTGCACCTTCTTACTGCCACTTTCCTCTCTAAGCCTCCTCCACAGGGGTCCTCTGTCCACACTGGCTCTTTTCTGTTGCTTGAATGCACCAAGCAGTTGCTTCCTTCCGGGTTTGGTACTTGCTGAGTTGGTTGTTTGGGAAGGAGCTCTCACTTCCCATTGAAGTTGCCAGACCGGCCTTCCCTGACCGACCTATATGTATGTAGGTTGTGTTCCTCCGCTCTCCCTTGACCCTTTTTCTTTTTTTTAAATCATTTTATTGGGGGCTCGTACCATTCTTATCACAATCCATACACACATCCATTGTGTCAAGCACATATGTACATTTGTTGCCCTTCCTTGACCCTTTTTCATGCTCGTTTTCCTTCCTTTCTAGTCCTTCTCCCTGGCATGCTCCCCTGAGAACAGAGCAGGATCAGGGTCTGTCGAGTCACCAGTGTGTTCCCGTGCTTGGAGCAGAGCCTGGTGTGTGGCAGGCATGCAGTAGGCTCGAGTGCCTGCTCCTGAGCTGACTGGCTGTAGTGAGCAGAGAACCTTCTTCTTGGACCTGATGGGCAGAAAACAGCATAGGTTGTGCAGTCAGCAACAAGGCACGTTGATTCTTTCCCTCCTCTCTAGGACCCTGCCGCAGAGCTTGGGGAAGAACACTGCCCCATCAACTAGGAGATCTATGAGCGCTCTGGGCACACAGGGCAAAAGTAGAAAGACTCACTTTGCTAATGGATGCAGGTGAGGTGCAGTGTGTGATGGGGGAAGGGCTTGGAGGTTTTGCCTTGCCTGGCGTCTATACTCACTGCTTAAGCAGTGGCTCTTTCTTGATTTGGATCCCCCGTCTGAGCAGCCCTGCCCAGAACTAACTAGAGATAAGCCCAGCATGGCTGGGATCAGCATAGAAACCTTGACGGTGCTCTGGTTAAAGTGC